CTTGATCGAAGTATAACCGAATCAAAGATATCCGCGAAAATGTTTAGTTAGTTAAATTAAGTTTAACGTAAACAGTGACGTCGCTACCATATATCAAGAGTAGGCAATGCCTAGGGGCCCAGACAGACAGGGGGTCTATTGTCAGGGGCCTTTTTCCCTATGTTACTTCAATTTTTTTCCAAAGTTATTTAAAATTTGGATTTAAATGATCAACGTCCGTAACTGAAGCCACTGCATCTTGCTAAAATTAGATTATAAGTTATTAACATCCATAACAGTAGCCACTATATCTTGTTAATAACTTTTAATCAAAATTAACTTTTTAATAGTTTTTGCGTATCCTGTTTGATCATTTGTGGACAGATTTTGTAAATTATAAAAAAATAATTGTGTAACTCTACTTAAATATGGTTTGTTTAAAAAAATCTAAAACGATGAGTGGAAATATAAAAGAAAACTTAAAAAACTAAAAAAAAGAAAAATTTAAAAATTTACCAAAACTTGATTTCTTATGCACAGAAAGAGAAGATAGTGTTGCAAATATGTCAACGGTAGACAACAATGATAGAATGGTTGAGCGGGGCATAATGATAACATCTAATTAGCAGACGCTTTAGAAGAGAGTCAAGAGACAAAAACTAAAATATTTGAAAGAGATGACGTTATTATTACAACTGATCTTGGGCAAAATCAAAACATTTCTGATGAAAAAAAGAGATCAATAATAAATTGTTCACCCCATAGACCAAAAGGACTGTTTCCTAAAGAACCTGCCCAAACAAAATAGATGTTTTAGTAAAACTTATTATTATTCTATGGCAAAACATAGTCTAATATCACGCATGTGGCTTTGCTATTCCACTGTTTTGGACACTGCATATTCTGAGCCTTGCTGGCTGTTCTCAAATATCAAAAGTCAATGTCGTTCTGGTTTAAAATAACGGAAAAGTTTTGTCCCCACGCTTAAAAACACATAGTTGTTCCCAACAACACATTGAAGCACGTGCAGTACACGAAATGTGGAAAAAAAAATGAAACTATCGATAAAAATGCTGAAGAACAAATACAATATAAGGCGTCTTTTTAGAAGATGGTTTTGGAACGTTTAAAACGTATAACACGTATGCTACCTAAAAATTCTCTGGCATTTCGTGGCCATCGAGAAGGATTTTCCGAAATATTCATCAAATCTCAAGTTTCATTACTTTCCAATCATGATGATGTTATGAAGCAGATACTAGACATGCCATCCGGTTCAATTAGATATATTTAAGTCCAACAATTCAGAATGAGCTAATAGAATGTTTGGGAGAAAAACTGTTAAAGGAATTGACATCTAAGATTAATGCAACACCGTTTTATACTCTGATGCTGGACACAGCACAAGATATTACAAAATTCGATCAATTAAGTATTACTATATGACATGTCCACATTATTCGGAACAATAATGAACTACCAACAAATTTCGAAATTAGTGAAATCTTTATAGTTTTTTATGAATTAAAAGACCATTCAGCAGAAGGTATGACTGATCAGGTAATGCAGATTCTAAAGAAAATGAATATTCTCATAGAATACAATTGTGGACAAACAAGAATTAAAAGGATCCAACCAAATGCAAAGAGTATGTGTATTGTGCCAGTCACAATCTCAATTTGGTAATTAATGACTGCGTTAATGGGTCCCGTAAAGTATCGTCGTAATTTGCCACTATTCAGAAAATATACTTTTTTTAGAAACAGCATAAAGAGGTGGAATCTTCTATCTTCATTCACTGGTGAGTCAGAAGTTACCTTAAAAAAGCTGTTAAAGTTTGCTATATTGGTATATTGAAAGCTTTGACTGAAATTAAACTAAATCTAACAAAAAGGATTAGAGATGAGACTATCCAAATACAAAAAAAAATGGCGACATTTGAATTTGTTTTTATCAGTGTATTTTTATATTAGGTGATGTGCAAAATTAATTGTACATCCAAAACAATTCAGAAGTAAGACATTGACTTAGATGAAGTTGTTCTTGCATTAAATTGTGTCAATGAAAATATATAAGACTTTAGACAACCGTATGAACAACTGAAATTAGAAGCTGAAGAACAAGCCAAAAAGTGAGAATTTGACACTAATTTTCATGCAAAAAGACAACCACGCAAAAAAAAAAAACATTTTTATGTGTTGGCCTCAGGTTATTGTGTTGACGACAAGGAACAATTATTCAAAGTTGAAGTATTTTATTTTGTTTAGGACAAAATAAATGCTAAGATTAGGCAACGTTTTATAGGGATGCAAACAATTACAAACTGTTTTGGATTTCTTGAACCCAAAAACGTTGTTAGTTTAACAGAAGCAGAGCTTTTAAAGTTATGCGCCAACCTCAAAAGTAAATACCCAGAAGTGAAATCCTCTGAGTTTCAAATTCAGTTTCCATACGCAATTTCTCTATTAAAAAACGAATTAAATGAAAAAATGTCGATAAAAACTTTTTCAGAATTGCTTCTCACAAAGCACAACTGTAAGTTAATTTTCTGAAATCTTTACTGCTTTCATGTTGTTCTTTAGACTTCCAGTTACAGTAGCCACTGCTGAACGGTCATTTAGCAAATTAAAAATTATAAAGGATTACAAAAGAAATTTTATTGGCCAAAGCAGGTTACAGAATCTTGCAATACTAGCTATTGAACATAAAGAGGCAGCAAAACTAGATTATATAGATCTTGTCAATGATTTTGTAAACTCAAAAGCGAGAAAGAAGAAATTCTAATTAACAATATTCTAAACTTGTTACTTTTAAGTTTTAATATCGTATTTTCATGAGCTAGTGCTCACAAACCTTTCAGCGTATTAAGTCATTTTTTGTTAATTTTAATTTGTTAATTTGTTCAAATATTTTATCAATTTTCAACAAAAAACAAATGTAAAACTACGAATACAAAATTACGAACACAATTTTATTTTTATAAATTACATTATGCCGAATTAGGTTATGTGGGTAGGGACTAGGGTCCACCACGAATTGTTGCCTGAAGGTCCAAAATATTTAGCTATGCCGCTGGACGCAAAGGTAGATAATTTTCGAACGTTTTAAGTTTTGAAATTTAATTGATATTTTAGAATTTTTAATGTATAAATTAAAAATTCATATATTATTAATATATTAACTATTATAATAGTTATAAACAAATAGAATTTAATCGAAGCTTAACTAAATCGAAAGATCTCCGTGAAAATGTTTACTATGTTTAATTATATTTGACGCAAAAGTATTTTATTTTCGAGCGTATAAAGTTTGGAATTTTTATGTTTAATTATATTTGTTTATTTATTTTAATTAAATTTTAATTTTTAATTTTAATTTAGTTTAATTATTATTTTTATGTTTAATTATATTTGACGCAAAAGTATTTTATTTTCGAGCGTATAAAGTTTGGAATTTTTTTTGAAGTATTGGAAGTTTTGTTATTATATGCGCTTAAATGCAATTCAAAATAAAATTCCTAGTTAACCGAAGTTTTTTGTTAAAGGGACATCAAAAAACAGTACGAGTTAGCAAATGGTCCGACTTAACCAGGGTACGATTTAAGCGGATGGTTTTACAGTAAGTTGATAGAGAATGTTCAAAGATTATTGAAATTCCATCCGACTTAGTAAAAGTCCGACGTGTCCAGGGTCCGAGTTAACGGGATTTAACTGTATATTGACTTTTGAAAAAAAATTGATTTTATTAAAAAAAGTTTTTTTAACTTTATTTGCTAAGGTTTAACAACTACCTAAGAAAAGTTAAAATCTCAACGCTAATCAAATGTCACGCCTACCCTCAAAAATGAAAACAGTTTTTAACTAAAAGCTGGTGGCTCTTACCTGTACTGTGCAAGGTGACGGAAAAAACTATTATAGATTGGGTTATGAAACACTCGGCACAATCTAATATCAAAGTCTCAACTTGGGTTTGTACATTACTAAGACCGTTTACAAACCTAATTAAATCCCGTAACAATTTAACTAAAGCTTTACCATGGACACCTAGTTGACATAATTAATTATGTTCAATAACGCGCAATATTTTTAATTAAACATTTTAATTACGATCAAAAGTTAAAAATATTCGTAACTCGAAGAACGGAGTGAACATTTACTGCAATACAAAATTGCTTATCGCTTCCAATAAAAATTATGAGTGTAAAAAACTGTTTTTTTAAGATTCTTATTCTTCTGATTGAAAGATCAAGAACCGGTAAAAATTGAAGCTTGTGAAATCGAAGACAACTTTATGGAAGATATTTCGCATCTTAACAGTTCAAAGGAGTCTTTATTTTTCACTTATGGAAACACTTTAGGCCTTCTCAACCAAATATACTCAAAGGGCCTATAGTCTATTTTCTAATCTATATGCATTCTAATTCAAATTTATCTAATAAAGCGAGTAAAGAGTTATTAGTGTTATTATTCCAGATGCAATTCTTAAAAATACAAATGTTACTTAACAGTACTAAAAATAAAAAAGCAATCATTAACTTGTACATGCCTTTTATTTTAAAAATATGCATGCTTACATGGGCGCCTAATTGCTGCTATGCCCCGGGCGTCATGAAAGCTCCCGGCGGCCCTGATTGTTTGTAATATAATAACCATAATACATTTCAAAAATAATAAACAAATAAATAAAATATAAACTGAAACAAACAAAAACACACTCAAAAAAACACACTTTACAAAACAAAAGAACTTACAACTAACGAAAACTTACAAAAAAGCGAATGAAATTGGGGAAGCATACGTACGCATGGGGTTTGGGGGGGGGAGAGAGGCACTATAAAAATGACTGAGGTGTAGCAAGGTGGGAGGGGGTTTCCAAATCTCGAGATTTTCGTGGATGCCCCCTAATGAATTTAATACAAATATGAAAATTCCCGCGTACATATTTACTTCCATTTTGAAAAATCGGAAAAAAACACACGTGACAACATTAAATTAGTGTCAGTGTTATCCGAATAATTTATATTTGTTTTTTCTTGAAAATTATATACAGAAACATTTTATTTTATGGAAGAAGAACATGTATATTTGCTTAGAAAATATGTATACCAACTATTAATTATGCACGCGAATGATTTTTGATCCAGATTTTTAGCGAAACACACCACTTGCCTGATTGAGTCAATCAAACAAGATCTGGTCGCAAAACTAAATCCTAATCATATCAATCAAATAATTGTTAGCTTTGTAAGACAAGGAAGTAAAAATGTACAGAATGCTCAGACTAAGCAGAGAAGCAGAATTTTTCTCTGCTTATAGTAATGTACATTATTGTTTCTCTGCTTATATGAATATAATAATAGTAATAATAACAACGACAACAACAATAACAACAGGCTATAAGATAGTTGATGTATATACTAAAGCCAATAAATATTAATTATGTTTTAAAAGTCTCCTCTGAGACTTTTAAAGCATAAGGAATATTTATTCCCTACACAGTCTAAACAGAGAATACATACATACATACATACATACATACATACATACATACATACATACATACATACATACATACATACATACATACATACATACATATGTATGTATGTATGTATGTTTTTATTTTTAAGTTTTGAAGCCAAAAAAAAGTTTGTTGGCTTTAAAACAATATTTCTGACCTAAATAGTTCTGAAATTTCTATAAAATTCTGGTTTTATTTAAAAGACAGGTTAATATACTTTGAGAGTAAAAAAATTTCAGTGATATATGTGACTTAGCGAGTATTTAAGGGATATTTGGGCTGGCTTTTTTTGAAAATGTAAATAAAATCAATAAATTTTGAGTTACATGGTGCTTTAATTTTTCAAGAAAAAAAAAAAAAAAAGAAAAAAAAAATTGCTGCCCCATCCCAAACTCTCAGTCGATGCAGCACTCCTAGTGGCAGTAGGCTATAAGGTAGTTGATGTATGTATTGAAGCCCTCGAAGTTACCTATTTTAGTATGGGTCATTCCATGTAAAACTGGGACAGTCATTTCGGTCACCTCTTGGATTTTCTTTAGATTTTACCAGGTGGTACATTATAATGAAACATGAAAAAATGCAAAATTTGAGCTCCCAAATCCAAATGGTTCAAAAGTTATGACGTTTTGAAATTCAGCCTAAAACGTTCCTTTTTTTGCCAAGTCTGCCATTATGGATTTTGTAGTTGTACTTTTTAATGAATAATTTAAAATCTAGTGGAAGAATGTGGCTAAAAATGAGTACCTGACTATTTTTGAGGGTGCTGAATTCAAAAATGTAAAGCAAATAGTGAAATTTATATTTTATGATGGTTATTTTTTAATTTTAAAATAGTCAGTCCAACTTTTTGTTCTGTTACCATGGGTTGCGCTTTCATTAACTCCCGGAGTTGCCCAAGTCTCCTGGATTCAATTTTTTTTTCAAACAAAGTAGGTGATACTCGGCTATTGTTATAAAAAAGATGGTTTTGGTTTCTTCAAGAATTACTTAGATATGTCATTTTGAAATTTAGACAAAAAAAAAATCATTTTTAGCCTCTATTCTCCATTATAGACTTTATAGCGATACTTTTTGTGTGAATAATTAAAGTTCTAGTGGAGAAATATGACTGAAAATTGACCAATTTTAAAGGTATTGAATACAAAGATAAAGATAAATGAACCCTATTCCTAGTATTTGAGAATGATTTTTCAATTTTAAAATATCAACAGTTAATTTTTTTTATTTCTTAACTATGGTTTACCTTTTCTTATTTCTAAAGTTGCCTTACTCTTATTGTGAAATAAGAGGTCTTAAAAAAGTTTAGGTTTCTAAAAGAAAAGAAAATTATAATGCTTTGCATAACTTGCATATTTATAATCAATATTTTCAAAAGTATATATGGAAATGTAATTTACTATACAACACATTGAAAATATAATTTCTTTATATATTAATTAAAATAATTTAAAGTAATATTATTACTTTATGTCTAATAATAGGGTCTTGTTGTGTTAAAAAATAAGAAACTAAAAAGCAAACCTTTTTGAAAAATAGTAAAAAATCTGCTTTATTGAAAAAATCTCAAAAATAAAAAGGAAAAGGAATAAACCAAATATGACTAAAATTGAAGTTTATAAAATTTAAATAATGAAAGTAAAATATTCATCAACTTTCGTTGACAAGATAAAGGGTGTTCAAAATGAGTTTCGTCTTCTTTTGTGATGTGGTACTGACGCCCAGAAGATGTTGACGGTGTTTTAACAAGAGAAATGACATTCATTCTTGGCACCTAGCAATTATCATCCCACTTTGGCCAGTAGTACGACTGACTTGGATAATTTGGATGCATAAACTTTACCATAAAATCGTCATTCTCTTTATCAACTTCAGAAACCATTCCAAGTCAGTAAAAATCGTCAAATTTGCAAAATAGGTATTGCAACATCATAACATTCTCAATTTTATTAATTTCGTATTTTTGTTTATTGAGGAAGTCAAATGTTAGAGCAAAATCATCATCATCGGATACCTTTTTTGTTTTTATAATTGAATGAGAAGAAGGTATAAATTGATGGAAACTTCTTGTCCCAGGAATAGCGGTTGCTATTAATAGTTTATCAGCAAGTTTGATTCTTACTAGCTCCATTTCTTTAGCAGTGACGTACACAAACGTAATCCCACTGATTGACTTTTAGCAGTATTCAAACATTGCTTGAGAAGATAGTATTTGACCTGTTGTTGGACTCTGCAAGCTAGCAGTTGAAACAAGCCTTTTAGCAGTGCCACCTATTCCATCACATGGAGATTTGCCATGGCTTGTTGCAAAGAAATTCCAGATGCACTGAACAGAAAAATCTTGAGCATGGTGACATAAATTGTAAAAGTAAAAATGTTTGCAGTTTTTATACTGCCCTGCACAGCCATCAGAAAAATAATGAATTTTTGTAATTGTGGGGCAAAGAGGAGTTTTTATATGATTAATGTTTTTTTTTTTTGTTTTTTTTTTTTTTGCATAACTTCATAGATAAATCCAACATCATGATTCAAATCATCTGAAATTACACAAAAAGAAGATATTTCCAATTTCACTTTCTTGTAGTAGATGACAACTGGATGAAGAGAACATTGACTCTTGCTCCAATGGTAACTCTATATCTCATCTTGTACTACAAAAGTGTAATTCTCTGAAAAATCTGCTAGTACAATAGCCTCATCAATACTAATTGCTTCTTTGAGATGCTTTAGATAGCTAGATTGTGATTTTGCTATAAATGAATGAGAAGTAATAATATCAAGTTTATCACACAGGAGTTGTTGTCCACTGTTTGAAATCCACTGACTGTTCATTTTCGTCACTGTCATATTGCTCTTTTGGATCATAATTTTGTGTGAAATACTGCTGGAAATAAATTTTGGGCAGCTTGTATGCCAGGACAACTATTGCATCAGTAAATCATGCAAACTTTTGATTTTCTGCTGCAGACAATCTTTTCAATGATTTCATGGTAAGATGTTTCAAGGCCTACAGCACTCAACATTAATTTAAAATTTTGGTGTATTGTACACACACAAACAGAATGTGTACCTTTTGGACCAGCAAGGATGCACCATTTAGGTCTAAAACTGCAAAATTTAGAAAATCCAATTTTATGGTCTGGGTACTTAATTTTATATGCCACATAGAGCTCCTTTAGATTACACATAATCAATTTTTTTGACATGTATTTTTTTTCCCAACACTTACACAGTCTTTTTTACCTGGCATTTGCCTTAAATACTCATCGTCACAGTAAAAAAGCTTTACAAGTTCTTTGACATCTTTACTGATTCGATGCCGTTCAACCACATTGGGGTATGCAATGATGCCTTTTTTGTCACGTAAAAGCTTTGCATTTTGAATTTTGTGTTTGAAAACTGAAAACTCTTTTACTGCTTTTCTGATAGACCATGATTTCGGTGTCAATGTCAAAATTTGAAGTTGCTGCCTTCTGTTAAAAACTTTAAGTTTTTTTTTCATGCATTCACAAGGAAGTCTAGATCGGTTTGGTTTTAATTTCTTTTAGAACTTTATAGTTGTTAGGTGCAGCAAAATCGGATTCGGTGACATCCAGTCAGCGCCGTACTATCGCAAGTGCAACAAGTGCAATCGCACTGGGCCCCCTATTAAATACATTAGAAAAACTTCTCCAATACCATAAATTACTACGAATTGAAAGAAAAATTTTTTTTTTTTAGTTTCTGCACAGGGCCCCCAAAAGTTACAGCACGGTGCTGCATCCAGTTGCAAGTTTCTTAATAACTGCTACTTCAACTTGCTTTATCTTTCTCTTTCCAAGTGAAGGTTTGTTAGAGGTTTTTGGTAAATGAACTTTTAGCGGAGACGCTTTTGTTTGACGCTGTTGAGCAATGATCTTGTTGATTCCAGCATAATTTCTTTTTCCATATTATCTTCAGTTAATTTTATCTTCAAGTCGTTCTCTTCTGATTCTTCACTTGATGCTAATTTATGTATGCATTGTGGACAAAGTTTTTCACCTCGCAATACGAATTTGCCTTTACTGCATAAGTACTTTGCTGAATCCAAGTTGATTTCACGAAGACTGCCTAAAAAAAGGGAAGAACTCTTTTAATATGTATAAAAATGTAATAAAACTATTTTAAATTTAAATTTGTATGACATTTAAAAGTGCATTTTTAGAAGTCAGCTAAAAGTAAGGCTAAATATAGCTAAAATAAATTGGCTGCAAAGAATTTCATTATTGTAACTCACAGCATTTTCACAAAATAAAAGTTGTGATTTCTATAAATACCTTTTATAACTTTGTTATGAGTATTAAATGTATTGCAGCACTGTGTTAATTTAGTTGCATAACGCTTCAAATAAATATGTTTATGATGTAGACAAGTTGTTGGTTTTACATTGATTATTGAGAGCCCAGTCCTCCACATTAATATTTCTCTTTCATATTCAGGAATATCTTCAAAAGGTTCGATTCCAAGCAACAATGTATATGTTGCAAGATGACATTCACTTTCTAGCTTGATTCCAATGGAGCACTGTTGGCTGTTTGCTATGACTAAGAAACTGAATTCAGTCAGTTTCTTTGACTAAAACTTAAATTGTTTACACCTAAACTTTAGCTAAAAAATCTATGAAAGAGAATTTGAGTCCAAATAAGGATTTTTTTTTGTATAAATTTCAAAATGACATATCTTTAAAATGCTTTAAGAAACCAAAACCATCTTTTTTATAAAAATAACCTAAGATCACCTACTTCATTTGAAAAAAAAAATGAATCCATGAGACTTGTGCAACTCCAGGAGTTGATGAAAGCGCAACTCATGGTAACAGAACAAAAAATTGGACCGACCATTTTAAAATCAAAAAATAACCATCATAAAATTTAAATTTCACTATTTGCTTTACATTTTTGAATTCAGCATCTTCAAAAATGGCCAGGTACCCATTTTTAGCCTCATTCTTCAACTAGATCTTAAATTATATATTAAAAAGTACAACTACAAAATCCATAATAGTGGGCTTGGCAAAAAAAGGAATGTTTTAGGCTGAATTTCAAAACGTCATAACTTTTGAACCGTTTGATTTTGGGAGCTCAAATTTTATAATTTTTCATGTTACATTGATAGGTACCACTGGGTAAAATTTGAAAGAAATCTGAGAGGGGGACTGAAAAATTTAGATTTTTTGTCCCAGTTTTACATGGAATTACCCTATGACATCATCAGTGTGTTTAATACTGCATATATATATATATATATATATATATATATATATATATATATATATATATATATATATATAATATATATATATATGTATATATATTATAAATAAAACTACATTTTTTTCACTACTATAAGTTTTATGCTAAATGCAATCATCAGGTGAAAATATGTTTTTTTCTCGTGAAAAATAATAATTCTGTACAAAAGAAAATGAGTTAGAAAAATCTAATCTTTAGTTTTTTGTTGACCAGCAAAAACTTGTTTTCATGATGACATTTGGATATTCGTTTTTTTTTTTTCATTAATTCTTTAGGATTTTTATACAATAAAATTAATAGTTTTTTCGTATAAGCATAATAGGTATTTTTTGGTTATGTTGTTTTGGGCGGAGGCGCTTTTTATAATGTAGCTTTTTAAATTGGGTGTTGTTTTTGATTTTTTTGAGTATCCCATAGATATTTTGAAAGCGTGGTTGTGTTTGCAAGTTTTTTGTTTTTGAAAGATTGCTTGTGATTCACCCATCTAGTTTTTCACAGGTCCTCACTTGAACCAATGTATGTTTTGTCGGGTGTGTTTGGGAATATATATATGTAAAAATATATACATATGTATATCAACTCTCGGAATTAGAAAAAATGAGGTCGGCAATAATTTGCCGACCTTAATCTTTTTGAGGTCGGCATCAGATCAGCAAAAATTATTTGATACAAAGTTCTGACTATAAAATATAGAAACGAGGTTGGCAAAAAATTGCCGACCTCTAACTCTTTCAGGTCAGCAGTTAGGTCGGCATTGCCGAATGCCAACCCTAATTCTGAGGGTTGATATATATATATATATATATATATATATATATATATATATATATATATATATATATATATATATATATATATATATATATATATATTTATGTATATATTTTATATATATATATATATATATATATATATATATATATATATATATATATATATATATATATATATAATTTATCTATATACTTTTAATACTGTTTTTAAACAGATATGATTACTAGTCAAAATGCCATTAATTTAATATTTTCCAAATTTAGTTAAAATGTCATTACAAGTCTTGCGTCATTTGCATAATTGGTCGCTGAGGAAAGAAAAGTTGCTAAAGATAGATGTCTCATTACATGATAAAGCACATACTAATCCTTTTGTTGTTGAGATGAATGAAGTTATTTCTAAGAAAAGAAAAGCAGGTATATTATCATTATTGTATTTAGAATTTATTATTCTGCGCATATTGTGAGAATACTAATTAACTCTTTGCGTACCAGAATTTTTTTTTTAATTTTTAATTAAGACATACCTAGGTCATTAAAATCCATTATTCAACATTTTCTTTAAGAGTAAACCTATAGACTATAGACTTTCTTAAAGCTTTCTTAAAGTAGACTATAGACTTTCTTAAAGCTTATGAGTCAAAGACATAAATATAACATTAAAAATAAAAAAAGTATCATTACCATAACAATCAAGATATAGTTGCATAGTAAAGATAGTTGCAACCAAAGTTTGAAAAAGTTAAATATTTTTTTCAGTTCAACTCTATTTTGACACATTAAATGTTGTTAAAGATTTAATAACTGTCAAAATAGTAAAAAGTGTAAAAAATTTAAATAAAATGTGTTAAATTATGCAATCATTCTAGCAATTCATTCTAATGATTGAACAAAAAAAAAAACATTTTTGGATTTTGTCATCTGATTATTGAAATATTTGAAAAACTGTAAGCACAGAAACTATGAAAAAATAAGAAAATTTATAATAGTGTAGTTATATTTTGCTGTAAATTGCTATTGATCAATAAAAAAAAAAAAGTTAAAATGATGAAGGAAATCAGAAATAAGATTCTATATTTTGCTTTTAGTATGAACTAAAATTTGAACTATAAATTTTAGTATGAATTCTCAAATGCATACTTTTTACATTTCTTGCAATAATTGACAGTAGGTTTGTTATTTTGTTTTCCAATCTGCAGATTAACTTTATAAGCACACAATTTCCACTTTTTTTTAGGATTTTTTCTACATTGGACATGTTTCCCTGTCAATCTGGTAGCCAGTCTTTGATACAGGCTCCAGATTTGGCTCCAAACTAGGGCCACCTGTCTTGCAAATAAAGCTCTCCGCTTTTTGGTCAAGATAGCACTGAACCACTTCATGAAGCAGCATTAACTTTTTTTTTATTTTTATATATGCATATTTTTTTTTCTCAAACTCAGGAAACTTCTTAAAAAATAATGATGTACTGTCAATAATAGACATTTCAAATGATCTATAAGACCTTTTTCGAATAATTTAAGTGCATTTTTATACTTGAAATTTTAAACTTTTTAATAGTTACTTTAAAACAAAAAAAATGAAACTCTAATAACATATTTGAAAAAAAAATACTTTATAATTTTTTTTCTTATTAAATAATTAAATTCTAATTTAAAACATTTGAATTTTTGAATAAATAATTCCATAAACTTTCCCCCTAAATAAAAATCTATTTTAATGTGAAATTTTTTTTTTCGGACCTTTAGTAATAATAATTTTTGTCTTGCAACTTTTTTAAATTTTATATCCTTAAATTACATATTAATTATTGTTTAAAAAAACAATAACCAATATGTAAATTTTGGCTGTTATTATTTTTGTAGTAGTAAATTTATTGTTTTGCTTTATCATTGACCATTTCATTAAAACAGTGTTTACGGTTTTTAAAAAAACTAAGAATTTAATGACCACATATATTTCCGGATATTGCAATTCACTTAATTTGAGCCCTGTGGTTGAACGATTTGTTTTAATTCAAACTGTTCCTGGCACATGGTCACACCACCGGTTTGTGGCAGTAAGTGAAAATAAACTGAAGATATTCAGGTTGTCATGTGATGACTTGGGTACAATTGTCAATGTGTCACTAGAACCTGACCTGGTAGTTGAACCGGCACCAAGTATAACAGATTTGCATCCAGGACAGTTTGTGGCTGTTGTTTATGACACTGATTGGTTTATTGGTTGCGTAACAGAATATTCCGATGAACATCAAGATATCTTGGTAAAGTTCATGAACAGAACACCTACAAACAGATTAACTTGGTCACATCGTGAAGATATCTGCTGGATACCATTCACTAATGTGCTGTGCAATCTTCCACCACCAATGTTGTCTGGCAGTTCAGCAAGACAGTATTTCTATGATGATGAGCATTTTGACAATTGCAAGAAACTGTTTAATAGTAGAACTGTGTGTAAATAGTTAAGATACCAACAGTTAAATGCATTGGCACCATACGCTGATATCGCTTTACATGGTTACTTGTATTGTTGATAAAAACAGTCTATAATTTGATTTTGTAACTTTAACAAACTATTTTTTCATAAAATTTAATTGACAGTTCATTGCTTTGATGATTTACCACAATACATTTTAATGTACAAAAAGTATTTAAAAAAAAAACTTAACGAGATATGGTTTTAATTAGCCATTGATTTAGTAGGAAAGGCTTAAGACACCAACATGAAATTTTCACCATAGCTAGTACTTACTGAGGTTAATAAGTGTGCAAAATATGAAATGTGTGAATTACTGTCAACATGGTCATCTGGGGGTCGCAATGTGCACAAAAATTGATGACCATGATGCATAACAGTGCCTACAATGAGTACACTTTTATTGATTAACATGAATTTTCTATGAAAATAATAAACACATATGGTACTTATTAATGGTATGACAAACATCATTCCATGTTTTATAGGTTCTTGGCTATATTGGGTCAAATATTGATAAAAACTGTCTAAAGTACAATGTTTAGACATTTTTAGGGGATATTGTATGCAAGCTACATTTAATATAAAAACACCATTCAACTCATGAAAAGCATGAAAAAATGAGTAAATGCTAAAAATTTCAGAGTAATTAGTTTTTAAAGTTTTAAGGTACGTTATTCAAAATGTCTATCAATTAACAATTTTGTAAACATAATACAAATTTGTAAACACAGTTCAATCCATAAACTTTTTACTTTATTCAAAAAAGCCATTGAAAAAACAAGTTGATACTAAAAATAAAGCAATTATTTTCTATTAGCAAGTATAAACTGTATTCTAAAACTGCAGAATAGTTCTCCATTGAGTCATAAACAGTTCTAAAAATCATTTCTTTTAATATTTAGAATCAATTTTTAGGAAATTTGTGTAAATATAATACTAGGAGATCCGGTTTTGATACAAAGCCATTATTTATTGATATATAAGAGTGACATTAAATACAATATATTATCTGGATTTTCGAAATCTGGTATGGACCATTGGAATTATAGTTATTTCTTTTTTTGTTTTTCAAATAAAAATGTTTTCAATTAGTTTTATACTTATTTACTTTTTTAATGATAGTTATAGTTTGTATCAAGGCAGCCATGGGCAGAGTACCTTGATACAAATTTCTAATTTTACTTTAAATAGTTTCACAAGTTTAACCAGTTATATTTTGGTAATTGATAAATTTAGTTTTGTAGGTATAAATTTATTTTAGAAATTAAACCAATTGTCTAAAGACATATTTAAAAAATTATTACATAGTAAAAGCCAAAAGTGTATCACTGTGCCCCACTCTCCTCTATTAAGATAAACTGCATTTTATTTATCTTTTTTTTTTTAGCCAACTCCTTAATATATCAAAAATCATTAAAGAAAATAAAGAAAATGGATCGAAACATATCAGTGCTTAATAAATTTCATAAATCGAAACATGCAAATAAATTAGATCAAAAAATATTACAAAAGAAGTTTTTACCTTTATCTAAAAAAAGAAAATTAGTGTTTATGAAAAAAACCCTGAAATGTCAGTATTGTTCTCGCAAATATTCAACAGAAAAAGTTCTTTTTGAGCATGAGAAAGTTTGCACCTTCATAAATCATGAGATGTGTTCAACACAGATGTCCACTTTGCTTTTTCCCTGTGATATCTGTTGTGAAAGATTTATCAATCTGGAAGCTTTAGAGCAACATCTCAAATGCGAACATCGCTCAAAGCCCTCATGCGACAAGTGCTTTAAAATGTTTGAGTGTCGTCGAAAACTTATGGAGCATGATGAATTTTGTGCAGGCATGTTAGATGGAAAACCTATTAAAAAACAAACACATGGGTTGATCAGTTTTATCTGTACATCTGACATATATATGTGTAGTAAATGTGAGAATCCATTTCCGTCTCAAAATCATCTCAGACAGCATCAAATTTTATTGCGTAAAAAGATGCCAATTGATGTAGTTTTAGAAAAAGATTCTGATTTACCAGCAGTTATAGAGCTGGATAATTGCAACGAAAATGAAGAAACTAGCAAGACAATGGAAATTAGTCTTAATAATGTTGTTTCTTTTCAGTACACATTACCATTTGAGCTGGGTGAAAACTCTTGTATGTATTGTGGAAAACTTTTTCAAAATTATGCAAGATTAATAATCCACGGACATATTTGTAAAAGGAAGCTTCTCTATTCGTGTTTTTTTTGTTCAAAAATGCTTCGTAGTGAATTTAGATTGAACAACCATCTCTCCTCATGCTTAAAACGTAAGGTTTTGGGTCAGCGCCAAAATGTTAATTTAGCTGAACTGTTTAGTTGTCAATATTGCAAACTATTATTTCCATTAAAAAGTTTATGTAAGCATCATATGCGAATTGAACATAAGAATACTGAAAGAAACCTTCGAAAATGTTACATAATAAAGTCAAAGGAATTAATTGGAAGTTCAATAAAGAGAAACATAGCAAACAAAAGCTTTAAATCTTTTAAAGGAGGTTATCATAGAAAGCCATTATGTGGGTCAGAAAATACTAGAACATCTACCACTCCAACAACTATCTTCAGTACAAAAAGTATTTTAGTAGAAAATCATTTTGAAAAAAAACCGTTGCTATGCAAATACTGTGATTTTGTTTGTATGGCAGAAAAAATATTAGCAAATCATCTTAACGAAAATCATATAAATGTATCAGAAACAATTAATATTGGTAAATGTAAAAACTGCTTCAACGTCTATCTGAACGAGCAAGATTTAAATAATCATTTATGCAAAATTAAAAAAATATCTACTCCTGAATCTAATGTTGATTTGTCAAGCAATACATATAGCTTCCACAATTATATCACTGACTCCCACAATCAAGTTAATAACAAAACTTCTCCTTTATACTCGTGTTGTAATTGTTCTCAGAACTTTAGACGAAAGAAGCATTATTTAAAGCATACTCAGATTTGCAAGTTTCAAATTCCAAACATAGTTAATATTCATGAAAATAATTGCAATTTAAATCAGTTTTGTTACATTTGTGGTTTTACTTTTGATAATATTATTTTACATCTTGTTTCACACTCTCATAAAAGACCGTTTAATTGTAGTGTATGTAAGTTTCGTTCAAATCGAGCATTTTCAGCATATAAACACATGCATAAAAAGCATAATATAATTTATGAACCATTTAACCACAAAAATTCCGATATACATTGTAAAGAACATGGTTTTGAAAGCTGTATCAAATGCCATATCTACTTTCTTAATCGCAAAGATCTTTTAAAACACAGCGAACAAGATTGTATAAATTTTCAAGCAAGAATTCAAAATAGAGAGAGAATTCGCCATTTACTCAAAGGTAATGTAAAACTTCAAACTAAAACACATTGTATGAATTGTTCTATCAATTTTCATAGTAAAAAACTTTTACTTCGTCACCTAAAGTTTTGTCCATTTAAAAACACTAAAAATCATAATGATGCTCCATCCAAAACAGCTAGTGGGAAAGTAAAGCAATGTCCTAAATGCTTTAAATCGTTTAAATATAAATTACCATTAAAAAAACATGTTTATAGATGCTCAAAATTAGCACACCCTGAAGAACAAGAATCGCAAATTATTAAACCTGCTGGACCAGCTATAGAATCTCTTCTAGCAGAAAATGAGGAAGCCGATGTTGATGTTGGTGTGTTAGTAAGTTTAGAAGATGCCAAGGAATCTTTAATGTCTTTAATTATTGATGATAAATGTTGCAAAGAAGTTGCAAAAGAAGAGAAAAAACTTGAAGAATTATCAAATAATGTCGTAACAACAACTACTATAACCCTTCATAGTAAGTTACTTGAAGAAATAAAACAAAATAACCCGACTGAAAAAAAGGCCATTGCGGAAGATATTTTTTGTATGGCGACGCAATTATCTAGAGGAGAAATGAGTGCTTTAAATAGTGGGATTGGTTTTTTAGCTGGTGGTTACCGATCTCCTAAAAATGACACTACAGTGTTAAATACCTTACATAATTCTATAGATATTAATAATTCTATAACAAGTTCACCATTACCAAACCTGTTTAATCGGGTATTGCACAAAAAAGTCTCAAATTCTTCAAATAGTCGTGTTAAATCAATAGTTACTGAAAGTCAATCCCATAAAAATGACCCTACTTTTTCAAACACCTCATTGCTCCACATTAGTACTGAAAGCCTCTTACCAGACTCAATATTACCAAATCAACACAATTGTCAATCACGTGACAACTTTTCAGAAAATAAAAATGATTCGATAAATGCCAAGTCTCGAAAAAAACGTTATAATTTTTTTAATACATTAAACAAAAAAAGCCTTTTGCCGGATACTTTATTGTCTACTCAAACTAATCGTCAATTGCCTGAGAGTGACGCTAGTTACTCTGAGAGTGGCGCTAGTCACTTTGACAAAGAAATTAATTCAATAAATGACCAATCTCCTAAAAGTGATTCAAACTTGTTAAACACATATATTTGCACAGAAACTAAAAATAATTTATCGGACTCTCCTGCAATTGTTTGCAGTTACCGTTTATATCCTTGTCGAAAATGTGGTGTGTTTTATAGTGAACCTGAACATCTTGATAATCATGTACATACTTTTCATAAAAGTTCACCTGAAGTGAATCCGACTGTTCAATATGCAGACGATGCTAATATTGTATCATCAACTTGTAAAACTAAGAAAAGGTATTCGAGCCTAGACTCAATGAAGGTTGATGCAACATCGTCGAGAAGACTATCGAGTATCTCTGATAAAGTTCCTGTTGATAATTGCCATTCTTTTTATTCAACGAAATCAAGCAATGAGTTTGATTCTCCTATAACTGAAAAAAAAAAGGAATTTCAGCAATACTGCGGAAATTATGTTAATGATAAGATGACAATGTCTCCACCCATTGGCGAAGGTATGTTGATTCAATTTTAATTAAACATCTATATTAATATCTAAAATAAGTTTTTTTTTTTTTTTTTTTTTTTTTTTTTTTTTTTTTTTTTTTTTTTTTTTTTTTTTTTTTACTTTTACAGCATGGTTTTATGGTTGTATTTTATAGTTGTGTTTTATTTAGATTACGGAACACCTCAGTTTTTATGTTCTGTTCCATATAAGAATCAAAATTTACATGAAGGATTGCAATATACTACAGTTCTACCTTATTCTCCAGTATTTTTTGACCCGGCATTAAGTCCCTACATATCGCATGAATCGTTAACAGTCAATGGTTTATCGTGTAATCCATCAAATTATAATCCGTATTATAATTCTTCGATGAATTTTTATCGGACATCATATCCTGAACCTCCTAATTCATTTGTTATTTCGCATCAGACTCCTCCTACTGTTGGAAGATGGCCATATCATCCTTCGGTATTTCCCCAACCAAATTTTATGAACAATTCTCGGCGTTTTGATTGTACGCAGTTGCAAACTGAGAACAGCAGAAATTTTTCAAATAATTTGAATAAAATTCCATTAACTGTTGCAGAAGCAATACATCTTGAAACCCAAGCAACAAAGCATCAAATACTTAACGAACAAAGAAGTTTACCGTCACTTTTTTCAAATGATGATTCAAATCATTTTTTATTAGATAAATACCGGCTTCGACTTGCAGAAGAAAATTTTTTACGATATCTTAATTCAAATTACTCATTATGTGGAGACAATTCTTTTGACAAATCTGTTTCTTGTACGCAAATGGAAGGAATTCTTGCCAACAATATATATTTGCCTGGTAGGAAAAATAGTTATATGAATAAAGTAAGTAAGCCAAACTTTGTGCAAAGCAATAATACTATAAAGAGAAATTATGAAACTTTTTCAAAAACCATACCAAATACACATATACACCAAACCGCCCTACCAAATAAACCAGATGAAATCATAGACACAGTTCAGGAACCTTTTAAGCGCAGTCGACGAAAACAGTCTAATCCAATCAGGATCTTAGAGAATTAAACAATAACAGTGGTTTAATGTTATTAAAAAGGGTTATGATAGCATGTTTTAAATTTTTTTAAATTTTTTTTTTTAAACATATTAACTGTCGTTAGCTTCTTAAAAAATACTTCTTTTTTAGATTTTTTTGTTAGTTTTTTTTTTTTTTTTTTTTATATTTTTTTTATTTAAAATATAAAATATTTTGAAAACAAAATAAGGTTATTTTCATCTTTAAATGTCATGCTGAAGAGTCTTTCTTGCGTGGCAGCCTAAATCATCAATTAATAGATTTTGTGTTTTTCTAATTTAAGCACAATCAATTAGTAGACAAATTAAATGAATAATATTTAATTTAAAAAAAATAATCTGTACATAAGGGTATCACAAAAAAGTTAAAGTGATATTTTTTAAAATCTTATTCTGTTTGAATGGTCTCAAAACATATATAAATAAAGTTTTGCGTACTTAGGATCACGTCAACTCGACTTGTTTATTGTTATTGTTTATTGCTCCTGTTTTTATATTTACTACATTTTACTTTGATCAATTATTAGTATTTTTCTACTTAGAGGCTCTTTGTTTTCCACTGGAATTCTGTCCTTTTGTACTTTAATTTTACTCTGCTACACTCTTTTTAACTTATTATGCAACTCGAAGGCGTTCTCTGCTCGGTGCAGCTTCACTAAAATGCATTGGGTTTACATAGCCGACTTGCAGCGAAACTTTTCTGTGCTCATACGGTGCGGCGTGACGGAAATCTTGCATTGCTTGCTTGTTATTACTTGTTCATTTTATTAGAAAACGCATTTACTTTTGAGTCAATATGTCAGATATATATGTACTTTTGAATCAATATGTCAGTGGAGTTACGAATTAACTAATAAAATCTTACTATTCGTGAGGGTATTATTTACTGGGAAAAGGCGCGTATACCAACTAAATTAGCATCAGCTAAGGTTGCATCTCTTTATCGAGCTCGACACTATCTTACTCCAGTTTTTATTCTTTATCTCTATAAATCTCAAATCCGGCCTTGTATGGAATACTGTTGCCATATCTAGGGCGGATCTTCTAGTGATGCCCTTTCTCTTTTAGACAAGATGCAAAAACGTATTGTAAACATATTGGACCTGCTCTTACAGCAAACCTCCCTTCGTCGTTATGTTGTTTCTCTTTTCTACAAATACTATAATGGGCACTGTTCTAAATAGCTAGCGTCTTTTGTGCCATCTACTAAAATTCATTCTCGTCATTCATTAAAGTCTCATCCTTTTTCTGTGACCGTTCCTAAGTCTCCAAAAACTCGTATTCATCTAGTTTTTTTCCTTGAACATCAGTTCTTTGGAATTCGCTTTCTTCATTTTGCTTTCCTGATTCATATATTTGCAATCTTTTAAGTCGTCTGTCAATCGTTATCTTACACTACAATCTTCATCTTTTCTTTTCCAGTAACTTCCAACTCTAATTAGTGGTTGCTTGCAGCCTTGAAATATAACCAGAAATATAAGATTTACAAGATTTTTTTGTATAGTACTATCTCTTTAATTCGAATTTTTTTGGGGAAAATAAAAATTCGAACTAAATAAATTTTCGAATTAAAGAAAGTTGCTTTTTTATAAAATATCCTCGTTAAAGCAACGAATAGAAATCAAACAAACAAACAAAAAAATCGTAATTCTTAGGCCTAAATGTAATTCTATGCTTTTGTTAGCATAAACATAGCAGTTACAAAACTTACATAACAGATACAAAGCTTAAGTATCTTTTTTTTTTTTTTTCAAGGCAGCAATCTATTTTTTCACTGCAAGTGAGCTATATTTTACTTTAAAAGATCGGATAATTCCTTGATCCATAGGTTGGGTGATCGAGGTTGTATTCAGTGGAAGTATGATAAGCTCCGCCCAATCAAGTTTCTGCACTTTAGGATGGGTAGATCAATTATTTATTATTAAAGCAAATTTTCTTTTCTGAAAACTAAACTTTAAATCAATTTCTTTAACCCACTCATCGGATAATTTTCCCAACATCCAACTTTTTGATGGCGATAATGAACATTTATTACACCTTTAAACATCTCGGAGACTTGGATTTTCCATTTACAAACATTGAAAGTTTTTCTCCTCTAATATTATCCGCGGCTATTCCAATAAGGTTTTTCTTTTACCAGCAAACTACTAATTGAAACATTATCAGCTCTCATTCGTTTAAACCATTTAAGTACAGCTTTGTTTACTTGGATATACCATGGAAGTATAAAACAGATAGAAGTTCAACCGCATTGAAATTCTTCGGGACTATGCTTGTAACCTTTTGTTTCGTAAACAAAAAGAAAACGACATCAAGACTCTACTTAAACACTTAATCTTTATACGTTGACGCAAATAGGTTCGTTTATAATAATTTGAAAATATAGTATTTTGAAGGTTCGCCAATAATATTCAAGAAAAATATTAAAAATGGCGCAACGAAACAGCAAACAACAACTTTTTTATAAACTTCGTATTAGATAAATGGAGTACTACAAGAATGAATGGAAATATGATATACAGCTAATGAAACTTTAAACTTTAGTTATTTATAAAACAATTTTTTTGATTTTTTAAAAATTGTTTTAGTTGTGTTTTTTTTTATGACTTATGAAGCAAGAAAAGAAGCTTAAACTAACATATGCTTTTAAAATCAAGTGGTTCTATTTAATTACCGAGTTTTAATAAACCTTTTGCTGAATAATTACAATTATTAATGGTTAAAACTTTGCAGCATATCCCTAAAATAAATTCTTTCTAATAAAAATAATTTGATTTAATAAAAATCATTACAGTGAAATTTGTTTTTTGTCCAGTGAAACTTTTTTTTTTATTATTGTCAGTTTACAAGCATACTGCCGAGACGAAATTTGATGAAATTGCTTGATGTTTTGCGGCTCGACGAACTTTTATATTTATGTTTGCGGCTCGATAAACTTCCATCTGCTTTATACTTCCATGGATATACTTTCCGTTAAGCCAAATTTCCTTTACAAAAAACGTCAAAGATTTTATCTTTGACGTTTTTTTTCCGGGTTGAAAGAGAGTTTGATGGAATATCGGGTAGACACGGAAAAATCTGGTCAGCTTTAAATTGAGATTTCTCTGTAATCACAAATGGTTTTTATTTCTTTTCTTATTTTTTTTAATTAATACTTCCTTATCTTTAATTGTGTTGATAAACTTTTGTTTACAAATCAATAATTTGCAAAATGCTTCGGAAACAATTTGGTGTGCGTAAATAAGTTGTGAACTTTTTTTGCAAAAATCCATCGACTTCATAACGCTTGATTGCTAAACGTTCAAATGTCCCATAATCTACAGTCATAGTTATTATAAATAAGTTCAAGACAATTCAAAGCTTCGAAATAAAACCTGGAAGTGGGATAAAGAAAACTTTTTATAAATTCAAAAAGGTAAAGTCGATTTTACGTTCAATAGCAAGAAATCCAAAGCAGTCACAGCGAGATCTAGCATAAAAATTCAAGATTTTGCGTTCTTATATCAAAAAAGTACTTAAAAATGATGGAATTAAGGCATTTCATAAGAAAAATACATCTAAGAGGAGCTTAAAAGGGAATTTAACGCGCAAAGAAGTTGATCACGGTCGTTTAGATATTAAGCCCGTTCTCCATTCAGAACTTTTTGCGCTTTGGAGAAGCGGAAAAGTTCTTTGAGCATGCGCAAAAAGTTTTGATCGGAAAACTGGCTTAAAAAAACTGTTTGCGCATGCTTAAAGAACTTTTCCGCTTCTCCAAAGCGCAAAAAGTTCTGAATGGAGAACGGGCTTTAGTAAAAAGCGCTGTTTAGGTACGCATACGTAAGAAAATACAGAAAACCTTTGAACTTTTAAAATGGCTACGGTTCTTAACTACAGAGAATATTCTATATGGCAACAGTTTATTTGTTAATTAATTTCTGAAAAGCCAATGATGTAGCTTTTTTTTTATCGTAAATTAATATAATAATACAAAAATTTCACAAAAACATAAATAAAAAGAGGTAATAAAAATCTTAGCGCGCTTAAACTTTATTTTTATTTAATACCTTTTTTAGCGTAAATCATAGATTTGTTTATTTATTTAAAATCAATTTTCTAAAAATCTGACTGTAGGATTTCAAAAAAAAAAATTTTAAATTTCAGATAAATATGTTCTATATGTATGATATTTTTCTGGTCATTGCTTCAACTTTTTTTCCATATAAAAATTAGTTTTTACTGTTATGACTATTTCCTAATATTTCAAAATGCAATTTCATTGATTATATTGTTATTTATTATTTTTATGACTATATATATATATATATATATATATATATATATATATATATATATATATATATATATATATATATATATATATATATATATACAGTATTGTGAAAAAGTTAAAAACCACCAAAAATACAAATCATAACTTATTTTTATTTTTAAATTTTTATTTAGTCGAATATAATTTTCTAGTAAAAAAATAATAATAATAAATTTTAGGAAATAGACAAACAAAATAAAAAATAATAATAACAGTTAGACTTTTAAACAAATAAAAAAAATGTATTTAAAGTTCTGTATGTAATTTTTATTTTAAAAAAATTGTGAAAAAGTTAAGAACTACAGAACAAAAAACGGTAATTTTTACCTAATACCGCGTAATTCTACCATGAATTTTTAAGCACTCATTTATACGATTTGGCATTGAGTCTATTAAATTCTCTAAAATATGTTTGGGAATATTTCTAAGTATTGCTGGTAAAATATTGCGCAACTCCTCAAGGCTCCTTGGTGCTTTCTTGGCAATCTGTTTATCAAGCCAACTCCAAAGATTTTCAATACAATTTAGATCTGGACTATTTGGTGGCCAAGTTAGACGCTCAATATTTTTGTTTTCAAACCATTCAGAGACAATTTTAGCATGGTGGCATGGTGCATTATCTTGCTGAAAAATGAACGGAACGCTTTGCTCAAGTGCATCAATTGATGGTAACAAGTTATTATTTAAAATATCGACGTAATAAATAGAGTTGAGTCGACCA